TCGTCATCTAACAGATCGATCACATCATACGTACATACAATATGATCGACTATCGACATGCCCTGGTGACCCACAAAAGTCGGCGCACGATTACGGATACGATGAATAGGGAGATTAATGAGCATATCCGAGAAGTCGTTACCTGCGTTATTTGTGGCGGTGTCGCCAAATTGAACGTGTCTGGCGTTAAAATCGCCGAGAATAATAGCCTTATTGAGGCTGGAGATATAATCGAACAAAATCTCGGACATGTCCTGATGAGGATGTTTGTAATAAGAGACTATTGTAATTGTCGTGTTATTGTCTAGGTGGATGTCCACTGCCAGGAAGTCAACATCATTGAGGTTAAGGTGCATAGGTGTAACATGAGGGGAAAAGGGGATACCGTATTTAATAAGGAAGCCAATACCGCGAGATATTTGGCATTTAGGACGGTGTACCGTGCAGTAACCGGGGAAAGTTGGATCAGTTTTTGAGAGGGTGTCGGTGAGGGCTAGGATTTGGATATTATGATGTTGAAGGATATGTTTAATAAGGGGTCGCCTATTCCGAACACCCTGGCAGTTAACAGCACCTATTGAACTGTCCATTAGAGGGGCAGGAAGGAGATGGAAGCTCTGTTGTTATGAGCCACAAGAGTACTCTTGTGGCCGAACATCAGAGTGGAGATGCGGTTGGTAATATCCAGGATAAGCTGACGCCTATCTGGAAGGAGGTTTATAAGGATGAGGGAAGTGAATTCCATCACTGCCTTCATGTCTGAAGACAGTTCGTAAGGTGGGTCACGTTTATCTGTAGTTATGGGTTGTGTTTCTTGCGGGGTTTTAGGAATTTCCCTTCTGAGTGGGCATTTGGCTGAATAGGCCGCATGCTCACCACCACAGTTAGGGCATTTAGGGGCTTGTGGGGTAGGGCAGGAAGAGGATTTGTGGTCTTGACCACAAGTAGGGCACCTATACTGTTTTTGCGGGCACTCCGCAATGGTATGCCCGTTAGCACTGCATTTGGCGCAATACTTGGGTACAGGAGGAACAGGATTGGAATTAAAGGGTAGTTCCACAGTCATACGGAGGCCGTCAAAGTACACGCCCCTGGCGAGCATCTCCGTGTATTTGGATTCACTTGAGGTGATTAATTTTACATAGGTGGTGGGTTTATTCTCTCTGGAGATGATGCGCCAGAGACGTATGACAGGGATGTTTAAATTAGTGAAAAGGATGGTTAGTTCGGCGTCAGAGTATATTCTGTCAACTCCTTTGACGACCACCATATAACCAGGATTGTGGGTACGGGTAGTGGTATTTTTTGAGGTTGATGGGTTCGAATTGTGCTTCGGAGAGATCTGGATTTTAGGATCCCCGACAGCATCACGGAGTCGCCGTTGGACATCGACATGATTTATCGGGTGAGGTGTGGTAAGGTGTGCGGTACCGGTGGGTAGAACTTTTATAGTGGTGATTTGGTTAAGGAGTAATTCTCTGGTATTTATGATTCTGAAAAAATCACGTTGTGTGGATTTTTCCAGAGGGATATTGGAAATGAGATAGTTAAAGTGTTTGGGTTGTTGGGAAGTTGTTTGAGGAAGTTGTGGTTTAGGAGAGTGCGCTGCAGTAGCGTAGGAAGGGATTTGTTGAGGGATGGATGTGTTTGTATGTATACTAATTTGAGGTGTAGGTTGTGGTGTAGGTTGTGGTGTAGGTGTAGTTAGTATATTGGTGGTATGTGTGGTGGATGTTTGTTGGTGTTGGTGTGCTAGGGTATTTGTTGATGTAGAACAGGGGTGTCCAACTTGCAATGCCTCAAGGGCCAAAACTAAATCCTTTGATGTTGTCGCGGGCCATATAATAATTTTGTTACAAGTAATAACAAAATAAATTGAGGTATAAAAATAATTAAAATAAAAAGAGTATTATTTCTTTTAATGCTCAACAACTACATTTTTTTGATAAACGGATAATTTATTGATAACACTTTTCAATAATCAAGACAAACATTACAAAAGCAACGAAAAAGATGTATCCAATTAGTGTGAGGACTGTGGTCGATCGGCTTCATCCACCAATGAAGAAATGTCCACCTCCAGTTCAGTTGTAGACACTCTCACATAATGACATAAGGAAGAATCGGTAAGGTTGCTTCTGTTTTTATTTTTTATGTATTTCATGAAGGAAAAGGCACTTTCACATGTATATGTGATTCCGAACAATAACGTCATTTTCTGTCCAAAATCTCGAAGGTTTGGGAATTTCTCCTTTGACAGCAATTTGAAAAACTCAGATCCCTTTTCTTGTCTGGTGATTAGGAACATGTCTGCTTGAAAATCACATAACTCAAGCTGTAAGTTGGGTGGTTAATCATCAATGGTTGCTCCAAAAGGGTTATTATAAAGTAATACACTGCTTTTGAGACTTTCAATTTCTTCAAATCTTGTATTGAATTCATCAATAACTTGTTCAATTTGTGAAATGCAGGACGAAAACTAAATATTTTGAGTAAATTCTGTAAATTTGTAAAAAAATTCTGTTCTGACTATCAATTTTCTGTTTTACTGGTTTTACACTAATTATTGTATAAGAGGAATCAAGACAAAGAATTAATCAAGTTCACTGTTCATTAGCAACGTAATAGATTAGCCGACTGTCCTACGTGTCAGTAGCACACTGGCACGATGGCGGCTGGCGACGAATGGTAAGCAGTGGGAGGTGTGGCGTGCGTGAACTGTAATGCGCAGTAATCATTGCCCTTCTCATAGTGGTGGAGGACGATTGTGTTCGTTACACGTCCGCGAAGCGGCACGCGGTACAGTACTTGTGATGTAAAAACTGCTAAATCATAAAATATAAAATAAATAAAAAAATCTTTTTTCACAGTGGCAGCATTTAAAGAAAATACATGCTTTTCGAAAATCTTACGTGGGCCACAACAAATAGCCTCGCGGGCCGGATGCGGCCCGCGGGCCGCCAGTTGGACAACCCTGATGTAGAAGGATTGGCGATAAGTGAAGACCGGGACAGCTGCAGACGCGCGATCAACCGGTCGATTTGGTCGATGGGTAATGTAGTCACCAGGTCCTCGACGAAACTGTCGGTGGCGACGTTCATCTTCGGAGTGGTGACGTTGGTTTCAGGAATGTGAAGTGTAGGGATATTGTAGGTAAGAGGAGACGGTAGTATGTATTGATTAGGTGAGATAGGGATCGGTGAAAGTGGTTTTTGAGGTAATGGTGGAAAGTCAGGTGTGATAGCGTGTGTTAAGTCGTTGCTGGTATTGGATGTAATCGAATTGTTGTGTGCGGGAGGAGGATCAGGTGGTTCGGCAGGACGCGGCTTTGACCTATTTGAGCGGGTCGAGCGCGGCATTTCAGCAGTGGTTGGCTAGGCGTACACCCAGAAGACACCCTTTTTCCTATACGCTGTGCAATGTATAGGATGGCGGGTCGCCGGACTAGACTTACAATAAAATGAGCTGTCGGTCCCCCGATGCACTTCCTTGTATACCACTGAGTTTTATATGAATACTAATTTGACTTCCTAACAACTTTTCCTCAAGTTACCAATTACAAATTAGTAACTATATGGAATTTCACAGGAGTCAGTTCGTGACCCAAGTACCACTCTTAACACCAGGCCAGCTAGTCGACACTCAGTTAGTAAACAGAGAGAACCGGCTACAGCGTACGCAGGTGGCCTTTTCTTACGGCAACCACCTACTATGCTTTCACCAGTTACTAGTTAACTAGTAGAATGTGTAGGACGAACTGCCCCAGATGAAAAATTTGCAGCACCTATAGATCTCGACTGACTTATTTATTTTCTTTTTATTTCTTCTTAAACCTAAAAATATACCTAAAAATAAATTCAAGGAACCGCTATAATGCCGGACTGGTCGTCCTATCACCCTAACGGAGGCTGGAAGCCCCGGCTACGGCCGCGGATGGCTCTTACAATACCATCCACCTAGCCTTCACCGTGACCAACAGAATCTCCGAAACAGTAGACGGGAGCACCCAACCAACACAATAACAGCTCTATGAGCCCTAACGGTTTTCAGAAAAACCGTTGAAGTTGAACAATGGGAATAGAACAATGGACAATGGTCCTATTGTTCTATTGTTGTCGCTCTTATCGCCTTCTTTGTTCTCTTATCTCCAGGTGTGCGTCCGTCCAAGCGATCAGCTTGTAGACAATGCCTATGGCTGTCAACTGATCCTTTGCTATAGGACGAGACGGGAACCTAAAAACGAGAAAACACGTAAACAACCGTTCGCTACGAATTCACGAAGCAGAATCCACTGAGCTGCTTCACTGAGCTTGAGCTGACTGAGCCGAGATCTTTCGGACACTCGATTTTATAGCGAGAATAGGGGACTGCGTAGTCTATATATTATACGTCATTGAGTTTTACTATCTGCCAATTTTATTGCATGAATGACATCTTCATTGTTTTTTCTGTGCTTGACATTGACAGCTTCACTGGCAACTCCGATTCTGTGATAATCTGTGGACCTGTGGTAATCAGGGTAATCATCATCCATCATATCATTTTATGCAATGACGTTATACGTCAACGTCATTGATCATATGGTAATCGTATGCATCGTATGGCAATTTGCAATTAATAAAATTCTTTGTTTTTTTGTTTGGTTGGTTTTTGGTTTTAAATAAACCGTTTTCAAACTTACTGTAGCTGTAAATCACAGCACATCCCTTATACTTTATTAGGTTTCTGCAGGGTGTAGAGTTGGAACGAACGTTAAAATTGAGGTTTAGTGACTATACATAATAGTGATTGTGGTTAAACTGTGGTGATATTATCAAAAAGTATTAGCAAAGAATATAGACGCTCTACGTATATTCTTTGGTATTATAATACATTATCAAGTTTTGTTTTGTAAAAAAAGTGAATAATAATGGAACATTATCTCGACCCTGAGGAACAGATAATGTGCCCTTATAACAGTGCTCATTTGATAAGAAGAAAAGTATTTAATACCCATCTAGTTAAGTGCGAGAAGGCAAATCCAGATATAAAGTTGGTTCAATGTGACTTTAATGCCAACCATAGAGTAGAAGAACCATGCATTCAATACCATCACGAAAATTGCCCAGATCGCAAAAAAATTGAAACGGCCTTTTACGTCGATGAAAAAACTGATCTCAATAGGTATCCAATTCGTAATACCTATATACCTTCTGATGAAAATTGGGATGATGAAAACGTCCCAACATATGATCCTCAGAAAAATTGCCTAAGCAAAGAAGTGATCAGACACCTGGATGTTGCATCTGCAGCTAAGAAAAAGAACTTTCGTATGGAGGAGCGACAAAGAATGTCTCAATTTACCAATAATAGTAACATTAGACCCATAAAATCTGATTTTTCATCTCAAAAACTGGAATTACCAGAAACTCGGCAATTTTCTGGTGCTGGTGACGAAAATACTCCAAATTCAGTGGAACAAGTTCTTATAAAAACTGCAACAGCTGTTGTACCAAGAAAAAAGAAATTTTAATTGTGATCTTTTATGTTTATAATGTAAAAAATGTTTTTATATTTCCAGATAATGTGTAAAATATGTTTTGTATTAATAAAGTGAATCTCTTTTGATCTCTTTTGTTATACTGATCCCAGTTTTTATAATGTTGCAGAGTTCTATGTTTCCTGTTGCCTCTCATCTTTAAACAATTCCTGTACGTATTTTTTCCATCTTTCTACTTTTTTGTTGTTGTCAAGGATAATTTCAGCTTTTTCATCTAAGATACCACTGTGGTTTGTTTTTCAGATGCCATGCAGTTCTTTTACCTTTACGTTCCTATGTAGATTGAAGTCATCATGCCTTTCTAACAGTATGTCTATTTTCTCTTTCCTCATACTTGTTTAAGTAATATTTTCCTTGGCTTCTTTTATTTTCTTTCTGCAGCCACTACCTACATGCATGCAACCACAGTATAAATATCATGCAATTCACAAAAAACTAAAAAATTGAGCGTTTGTAGGTTATTGTCATTTGTTTTGTTAGAAGATTGTAGTGTTTTTGTTTATAGTATAAAACTAGGAATTTATATTTTTGTTTTTATTTTAAAAGTGCAAGTTAATGATGATGCTAGGCTTATAGAGCTAATTTCTAAGAGACCACAGCTTTAGAATCTGGTACATAATAATTATAGGGATGTAAATAGGAGGAATGTGTGGGAAGTAATAGCAGCCAGCTTTGAAGACAGCGAAACAGCTGTTAATATATATACAAATTTTTATTGAGCCACATAAATATAATGATTTTAAAAATATTGTGGATCATAAATGAACTATTGTAGACATTCAACACTCCTCACAAATTATTTTTTTTAGTTTTATTATTAATATGAAGTTATCTAGCTTCATTTTTAAAGTACTCTCCTCCAATTCTTGCTCTGTTAATTTATGAAGATAAAACCCTGTCCCTGTATATGTTCTATTATTAAAAACTTCCAGGATTGTTTCGTTTTAAACATTTTGAAACTATTTTCTTGTGACATATTAAATTAATTACTATTTAACTGGGAATAAGCCACAATTAAAGGTAAAAATACGTTTATTGACGTTTCAATTTCCACTTCGGAAATCGTTCTCAAAATACAAACAGTAAATTGACTGTTTGTATTTTGAGAACGATTTCCGAAGTGGAAATTGAAATGTCAGTAAACATATTTTTACCTTTAATTGTGGCTTATTCCCAGTTAAATAGTAATTAAACATTTTGTTTTGATTAACTGTTTTAAACATTTGTTTAGGTTTAAAATAATTTTTGTTTAAAACAATTAAATTAAACAAGTGTTTTTTTTTCATTTTCTTTATTAATATAATAAATAAACATGAGAAAAATTCTCAAATTATTGCAGTCTCATAGTAAGTCATCAATCTAATATTTAATCAATTGTGTTGTCACTAATGGAATTAGCTCTTTAAAAATTTAAATCAAATTGACAGCTTTGACATTGTTTAGCTGATTACATAGTTTGGAATGGATTAAACTGTATGATGAGAAGAGTCTTACTATGTTGGCTGATGATGCAATAGCTGTGTGAAGCTTGTTTTTATTTAATGACACTCTTTAGCAATTAAAACACAATACTGTTCTGTTAGTTAATAATTTGCTGGCTGCAAAGCAAAGGGTGTTTATTGGCTCAGTGTGGTCGTCTCCAGTGACAAAACCACTTTAACTGTTTCTCAGGTCAGCTGGCCAGTTCCTTTTATGTCTCCTATTGGCATTATGTTCTATTAGAGGTTGAATTAAGGGGTTACTGTGTGGTTCCAGTCCTTCATGGTGCTTCATGCTATATTTAGTGGTCACATCCTGTATGAATGGTCTTCATGAAGCATTAGGTTTGACATACTAGGGTGCATCAATTATCATTCTCAATATTTTCTATGGCGAACCAGACGCAATTTATAAAAACTAATTCAATACTAGTTCACCACATATAGGTTAGACGTACACCGACAAAAAAAAACTATACGGTGACAGTATGAGAATGGCTCGCGGCTAGACAAACAGTGGAGACTGGTCGTGCAGTCCATTGAAGTATACAAACGTTATCAAAGGGGCGCCAGGTAAATTGGCCCACAGCCTTCCCTACGTTGCTTATGATAAACCACCAACTTACCAATAGGTTTATCGCCAAAATTACCAGTACCTATAGGATACACCAACCTAAATACATGTGAGATAAATAAAAATACAAATTGTCTGAGATCAAGATTTGGTCAAATTTAATGATTAAATATAATGAAACAAAATACACTGTTATTCCCCTCTACCATAGGCTTAAAAGAAAATAATATTGTAGTAATGCGGGTATTACTGGCTTAAATATGATATCAACAAGTAACACTAGATAAATATATATTACAGGTTAAGATGTTTAATAAAAATTACCAAACGCTAAGGGGACTGGTGTGTGAATTAAAACCAGTAAAAAAAAATGTATTAACTCAAATACGACACCACGTGAGCTCAGGTGTGTGTGTGCAGATCATGACATAAAATGTATACCAAAAAAATAAATTATCTACCCTTAGGCGCAGTTTACATACCCGGAAAATGTGTAAATATATAAAATACCCGAGACCGCAATTTCTTTATTGTCTTAACAATGTTATCTGAATAAGAAAATTTAACAAAATAGCGCATAAAACTTCGCTTGAAAAACTAAAGCTCGATAAATACCTCGAATTTATCACATAAAATACGTCGTTACTTGTGTGACTTCCTCAATCGGGGTGTATTCGAGATTTACAATTTCTAAGTCCACTGAGACGCAGCGGGGGGAAGTCCCATTAAAAGCTGTAACGGCGAAGTCGTCGCAGAGAACAGTACGAAGGTCGAAACACCTCCCAGGTCGAATCAGGAGCACATAATGGGCTACGTCCAGTCAGGAAGACGAAAATCAACCACCAAACGGTTAAAATCAGGCAATGGGAAAACCAAAACCCAAAAACAAAACGATAACGAAACGAAACCGGAACCTGAACCCTTGTTAGCCAGACCAAGGGTTAAAGACTAGCCGTAAACTACTTGGCTATCTGGATCGTGATTAAGGCTCGATCTTCGGTCTTATTGTAACTGATTCCAAAGATGAAACGTGGCTGGTAAAACCGCCCTTTGGCGAATCTGCGAATATTCCAACACCAAAACAAACTTTTCCACTAAGGACACAAAGCTAGGGGAACATCCGCTACGTTGTATTAGAATGAAATCCCTCAGGAAACAGCAAAATACAGTTGCCGGCAAATACTCTAATACAGCGACTTATTCCATGCCAATTCACCTCAAGAATGCCTCTATTGCCTCTTCAAACCTAAAAGCCGTTATCCAGCGCTCGTCACACGAAGATTTGCCGATTAGGCCCGAGATTCAAAATCCTAAATTTTGGAACACCAAATCTTACAAAATATCACTAGAAACCTCATATAAATTAATTCCTTCATAAAAAAAGAATTTTTTTTTTAGTTTCTTAGCACTTAAAAAAAAGCATTTTCCCCCAAAATAAAATTAATAAAATTTCATTTCTCTACCTTGACTGTAGGCAACCAATATTACATATCTGTTTTTGTATAAACAGAGCGGTGACATCTAACCAGTTGCAAAACTAGAGATGGAGCCTAATGCAACATTTGGAACGTAACAACACCCCCCTTTCCCAGAGGAAAATTTACAAGGAAAAACAAGACGAGAAATTTTCCCTCGCGCTAGCGACACACTACCTATAACCCATACCAAAGTAAATTCTAGTATTTACCAAACTAAAATGTTTTAGGTCTTACCACCAGGGGGACAACGGTACCCCAGTACAGTTATAGTACTATACCAGACTAAAATGCTTTAGGTCTTACCACCAGGGGACTCTCTGTACCCCAGTACAGTTATAGTACTGCACCACACTGAAACGGGCAAAACACGGGAAAAATAATGATTGGTATCCAGAGAACTCGGCACTGAATTTGGGTCCTCACAGTGACATGTACAGCCATGTTGCTCCTAACGCAGTAGTGCCACCCCCACCTTGGACGTACAAGCGACGGCACCCCTCAGAGAAAACCAGACTAATTATGGTTCCAGCACTTAAACGACTGACTCGAACGACCGTGCAATGCTACAACCCCCGGTGGGATCGTAGCGGCAGTTCGATCCGTCCATGAAAATGACACCCCCCGACGCCGAAGCCTGAGAAGTACACTTCCCATTGAAGAGAGTCACTGTGAACCCCACACGCACGCCGCAAAGTTCTGGGCCTTACACAAAAAAATAAAGGGACCTTAAACCTAGTAAAAACCACAATATTCCCTTTCCCAAAATATCCGAAATACTACTAACAACCACAAAACCCACAACCCAAACCAGTTTTAGAGAACACTCCTCAGAACTGTCAACAAGAGAACGCATCTTTGTCGCAGCACGACAAAACAACTCACCTAGCGACGACAAAACCAAAAATTGTTATCTCGATGTGAAAGACAGAGATAGCTACAATCTGGATTTCTTCGCTAGTAAGGAAATAGCAAGGGATGTCGAAAACCTTGGAATGACAGAAAAAACCAAAACATCTGTTGAAACAGTAGTCTAATCCCCATTGTTTATCAAGATAAAAATGACATAGGTAATCCAGAATTTAAATCCGCATACAACGAAATTAAGTGAATCATCCAAAAGCTAAGCTATTACCAACACACGATCCACCAAATCCTAACTATGTGACTTCGGGAAAAACCTAATTTAATAGAATGGCTTACTAAAATCCCAACAAATTCCTACGCCATAATCCCGAAAACAACATATTTCTGACAAAACCTACATGACATTCATCCCCACAAACCAAAAGAAATTACCAACTGTATCAGCAACCATCTCAAACGACATAACTAGACAAAAAACATAATTCGAATCAAAGCCAGACAAAACTTTTGCTAATCCGTCCTGTTCTGATCTAAATATTATCGTGATCATCAGTCGGGTTACTAACCCTTAGATCCTTAACATTCCAAATGCCTTGATTTCTACCATTTTCATCCTCTAAGCTATATGTCCATGGAGAAACTTTTTTCTTCACGAAGTAGGGTC